AGCATTGCAGTGTGCACATCAGCAGGAAGCTGGAACCAGAAGTGGAGCTGCGATACCACCCCAGGCACTGTGCTACGGGATCCAGGCGTCTCAGTAGTATTTATCCACTGTGCCAAATGTCCACCCCAAGTGATTTCTGCTTTAATTATGCAACCTAAAACTCTGGCTTCCTTAAAAAAAGGAAGTTTCATGGGAAAACTCCCATTTCAAAGCAATTATTGCCAAACATAAAATTTGAAATTTTTTTTAAAGATTTATTTTTTTTTTACTTGGAAAGGCAGACGTACAGAGAGGAGGAGAGGAGACAGAGAGGAAGATCTTCTGTCCGATGATTCACTCCCCAAGTGATCACAATGGCCGGTGCTGCTCTGATCTGAAGCCGGGAACCAGGAACCTCAACCAGCTCTCCCACACGGGTGCAGGGTCCCAACGCTTTGGGCCGCCCTCGACTGCCTTCCCAGGCCACAAGCAGGGAGCTGGATGGGAAGTGGAGCTGCCGGGATTAGAACCGGCACCCATATGGGATCCCGGGGCGTTCAAGGCGAGGACTTTAGCTGCTAGGCCACGCCGCTGGGCCCCCCACATGGTGTTTTGATGCATGCATGCATTGTTCAGAATTCCAGTCAGGATATATCTGTCTCCTCACGTATTTCTTTTAGGTCAAAACAATCTTTCCTAGCTTTCCCGAAATCATTCATCTGTACAATGTGAATAAGATAGGAGCTATTTCTCCTATAGCTTAGTATCTGTATGAGTTTTTAAGAACATGTCTTTTTTAAAGATAATTATTTTTACTTTTGATGATTTTTCCATAGTTGATGAGGGTGATAAGGGTCAAGGGCTACGGGAAGGTGGGTGAGATCACCATTTCCACATTTTCTTTTTTCCTTCCTGTATCTGGGGGAAGAAGAAAGATAAGGAGAGAAGTGACACCCAGCCTCCCAAACGCCTCCAAACCCTGGGATGGAGGACAGCCATCCAACGCCATCCCAGGGTCCCTGATGTGGGGCTTGCTCCAAGGGTCCTGCTCAAGAGAGGACACTGGAGTTCAACAGTTCTGAATTACTGCCAATCTCACCACTCCAAGCACAATGAAATCTCTCCAAAATCCACTGGCTGACATAGTCCACCTTAGAGTCTTCATTTGTTCAAACAGTCACTACCAACACTTGGCTGGGGTAGTTGATCAATTTTTTTCTGTCCTCCATCCTCTGTTATGGTACCAGGTGTCCTCTGCAAACTTCAATATACTTCCATATCTTCCATGTGCTTCTGGATATGTTGTCTACTGCTCTGTCTAAGCCACTGAGGAGGCCCACTCTGATACATGCATTCGATTCCACGGTCAGACCATGGAACCTGCAATTCTCCCCATGGTTGGAGTTCTGAGTCCTGTGGTTCATTTGGGGAGATTCCTAAAGAAACTTGATCTGAAGTGATCCCAGACCAATACAGGGTAAATGCCAATACAGGGTCTGGCACAGTCACCCTCCCACCCCAGTCGGCTTATGCACATACTGGTGGTTGCAATTGCTGGGTCAGTTCTGCCTCCAGCCTTGTCTTTTACACAAACCAATGGGTGTTACAGCCCAATCCTGCATACCACACACTTGGCCCTCATGCAAACCAGTGGGAGCTGCAGCCTAATCAGAGTGACCCACAATAAGCCCCACCAGGACTGCCTCCTGCTCTGGTTCCCATGCTTGTCAGTATGTACAGCAGACTGCTCCAGTCTGTCCTATATCCCATTCAGTTCTCATACATGTCAATGGGCATTGAAGCCTAGTTCAACCCAACTAGCCCTACAATCAAGTCTACACACATGCCGGCGGGTACCACCTTCTGTTTAGTCTTGCTGGTCACAGTCTTGATTCTCATGCTCACTAAAGTGTCAACCCAAGAGGGAGGAGCTCACAGTTTCGTAATGGGCTCATTCTAACTCGTGAATCTTGCACATTCCAGGTCGTTCTGCAGTTTACCTTGACAGATTTTGTCCCCCTTGCCAGCATCTGCCAGCTGATATTGTGGCAAAACCCAACCAGCCCACACCCAATCTAACTTATGCACACACCAGTAGGAACAGTCAACCCAGCCTGGCCTTCCCTTGATCTAGCTCACATGAGGCCTACAGGTGTTGTAGCCCTGCCTAGCCTGGTCTGCCCCCATCCCAGCTCTCACCAGTGGGAGTGGTGGCTCAGTAGGGGGGCCCCACACAGCCCCCCTACTAAGCTTCCCCCACCACTGGATCTTACGTATGCTGGTTGGGTGCTGCAGCCCAGTCTGGCATGGCCCGCCTCACCTTGGTATTTGCCAGTGGGTGCTATAGCCTGGCTGGTGGTCCCTGCCCACCCCCTGTCTTAGCTCACACTGGTAGGGGCTACAGCTTAGCCCAGCCCAAGCTGGCCCCAAGTTGCGGCCCTCATGTGAATGTCTTGTGTTGCAACCTGACCCAGCCGCCTAACCCACACTCCATTATGATGCTCAGATTCGGCAGCAGGTGATATGAATTGGCCCAGCCTGGTTCACCCTCGACCTGAGGCAAATGTGTGCCATTGGTACCATCCTCTGGTCTGGGCTGCTTCCTATTGTGGTTAAGAACCCATCTTTAAAAGATAATGTTTTACGTTTAGGGTTTTTCCCTTTTTTCTATTCCCACTTGATTCCCCTCCATTGTTACCTTCATCTGGATATCTATTCACTCCCTAGGCAGAAACAGCGAGTGGCTCACTGATACCCTAGTTTCTTAACCCAGCTAACTTGCTCTAAGGCAAGACTGAAAATACTTGAATGTAGTTGTCAATATCCCAGAAGGCCAGAAGGTGGCGGTGCTGTGCAGAAAAGCTGAGCATCTTGCAGTTTCCTAGATGGTTGAGACTATTTATAGACTCTTTGCTCCCAACAACCCTGGTAGATCTCGATTTGCTTTAAAGGAGCTGTTTATTTATTTGAAAGGCAGATGGAGAGAGAGAATCTTCTATCTGCTAATTCACCTCTCCAGATGGCTAAAATGGCTAGGCTGATGCAGGAGCCAGGAACTGGTCTCCCACGCAGGCCTCTGCACTTGGGCCATCAGCTACATCAGCAAGAAGCTGGAGTGGGAGCAGCTTCTGACATGCGATGCTAACAGCCACCCCAGACACTCAGCTTTTTTTTTTTTTTTTTTTTTTAAGATTTATTTTTATTATTTTTTTCATTGGAAAGGTGGATATACAGAGAGGAGAGACAGAGAGGAAGATCTTCCGTCCGATAATTCACTCCCCAAGTGAGCGCAACGGGCCGATACTATGCCAATCCGAAGCCAGGAGCCTCTTCCGGGTCTCCCACGCGGGTGCAGGTTCCCAAAGCTTTGGGCCGTCCTCGACTGCTTTCCCGGGCCACAGGCAGGGAGCTGGAAGGGAAGCGGGGCTGCCGGGATTAGAACCGGCGCCCATATGGGATCCCGGGCGTGCAAGGCGAGGACCTTTAACCACTTGCGCCACCGCGCCGGGCCCAGACACTCAGCTTTTAAGACAGTAAAACTTGGGAACTGTCTATGTTTTAAACTAAGAAGGCATACCTGTACATAAAAAGAAATGCAGGAAGTCAAGACTCTTGTCTCCTGGATCCTGGCACACATCCGTAGTGCACTTACTGCAAGTACGGCCCCATAATGAAGTGATGCCACCTCAAAGGCTTATTTCCTAGCTCTGGAAGTGAAATTACAGTAAAGGACCAGGGTACTTTTTTTTTTTTCCTCCCCTTTTCCTTACTCTCCGGCCCTTCCCATATGGCCTGCCCACATAGAGGGATCTCTGTAACCTCTGCAAGATGCAGCAGTTGGAAAGTACGATCTAAGACTGCACCCAAAGTCTGCCCTAAAAGGCTCCTGGTTACTTAAGCATACATTCTTTGGTCCTAACAGGGTTTTCGTGCAGGGCTAGCCCCACTCCGAGTAGTCTGTTAGCAATTAAACTCATCTACCAACAGGTGATGGTTTCATTTAAGAATCATCCGAGGTTCCTGCGTAGTTTAATGGGTTCACCCGGAGCCCAGGCGTATTCCTCTCCTTCCTTCCTTCTACGGCTAATTGTGCTCCAAGTTCAGTCTCTGCTATCAATGTCACATCAAGTTAACTGGGTCATGACGAATGCGATTGCCGGCAGACATGGCCTCCGTGAGGGGGGTGCACTAATGTTGCAGGCGCTTCCAGCCCAGGCCTCTGCTGGAGGCTTGGCGAGGGGCAGGGGGATCAGTTGGTACACCCCGGAAGCATCTCTTGTCCTCATAGCACTTGGGACAGAGGCATTCAGCGTACACCAGAATTTTCCAACAGCGGCCTTGGTCCGGGGCTGCGCGGGCAGGCCTAGACTCCCGGGCCGGGCTCCAGCGCCTCGGATCGGCAAACCAGCGCCGAGCGCGGACAGCGACTTGCCGGCTCCGCGCGGTGGTGACGCGCTGAGGGAGAGGCACCGGAGGCGGCGGGCGGAGCCCCGACCCAAGAAACCCCTCCTGACCGTGCGCCCCGCGCCCCCCGCGCCCTCACTCGGCCCGCGCGCCCCCGCACCCCCACTCGGACCGGTGCGCTCCCCGCGCGCCCCCCACTCGGGCCCGCGCGCCCCCGCACCCCGACTCGGCCCCGCGCGCCCCCCACACCCTCACTCGGCCCCGCGCGCCCCCCGCACCCCCACTCGGCCCCGCGCGCCCCCCACACCCCCACTCGGCCCCGCGCGCCCCCCCACTCGGGCCCGCGCGCCCCCGCACCCTCACTCGGCCCCGCGCGCCCCCACACCCTCACTCGGCCCCGCGCGCCCCCACACCCCCACTCGGCCCCGCGCGCCCCCCACACCCTCACTCGGCCCCGCGCGCCCCCCGGCCCCGCTGCCTCCTCCTCCCTCGCCCTCCCCCACATCCACGGACCGTGCGGCCCCCGAGGGGCGGGGCCGGGGCGGGGCGGGTGGACGCCATCGCGTAGCTACCGGCCGGCGGCGGCGGCGGTCCGGTCAAGACAGCGCCGACGTCCTCGCTGCCCTCAGCTCCTCGCCGCCCTCGGCTCCTCGCCCTGGCCACCCGGGGCCTGAGCCTCGGTTGCTGAGGCTGCACGCGCGGCCGGGTCGGGGCTGGCGGCGGCGGTGGCGGCGGCGGAGGCTCTGGGGGGGCATGAGGAGGCGGTGTCGCGCGGAGAAGATGCTGAGGAGCTGAGGAGAACGCGGACACCGTGCGCGGCGGCCGAGCGCAGCGCCTAGCCTCGCGCGGAATGGCTCAGCCGGTCGGCCCGGCGGGCGGCGGAGAGCCGCGGGCCGACTTGGCGAGTGGCGAGGGGCCGCCGGAGGCCGGAGCAGCCCGGGGCTCGGAGGACGCGCTGAGCCTGGAAGAGATCCTGCGGCTCTACAACCAGCCCATCAACGAGGAGCAGGCGTGGGCCGTGTGCTACCAGTGCTGCGCCTCTCTGCGCGCCGCGGCCGCCCGCCGCCGCCAGCCCCGCCGCCGCGTGCGCTCGGCCGAGCAGATCCGCGTCTGGAGCGACGGCGCCGTCACCCTGGCGCCCGCCGCCGGCCAAGAGGGAGAGCCGCCCCCCGGTAAGGCCACCGGGACCCTCCCCTCCCGACACACGGAGGACGCCCTTGGCTGGGCACCGGGCGACCCTCACTTGCCACGGGGCGTCCCAGGGCCGGGGAGGGGTGGCTGGGGAAGGCGGAGTGGGCGTTGCGCCCGGGCCAGCTCGGCGTCGGTCAGAGCCTCGGGCGGGGGCGGATGGCTGCACAAAGAGCCGGGGCGAGGGGCACCCGGGCAGGCAGGCCTGTGCCACCTCACTTCCCGCTGCAGGCCGTGGATCCCTCTGGCTGCTGCGCGGGTGTTCAGGGCAATGATGCGGGCTGCGTGCGCGGTTGGTGCCTGGGCTGTTTGCTTGTGGCCGCACCGAGATGATGGGTCAAGAGAGCTTGTCAGGCAGTCTTTGGGGGAAAAAAAAAAAAAAAAAGCAAACGTATCTTTGGGGCCGAGTAACCTGCCGGTAGCTTTTTAATCTGACAGTATTCCTTCGGTTTGGCAGTGTATCCAAGAACTCTGAGCCCCGAGGAAAATTTTGTTATTTGGGGAGAAAGGGGGAAAATAATGTCTTTTAGCTTCTGGCTGTTAGGAAAGCTTTCTATTAAAACGTTCCTTTGGTGAAAAAACAACCCTGTAAATGAAGAAATCGCCAGGAGATTGAGGAAGAGAAGATGGTATTTTCGTTCTGCCGGTGACTGTAAATTCTGCAGGAGAATCCCCTGACCCCCCGGAGCGCGTGCTCGGCAGGTGCTTCCCCCAGCGCTCAAGGAGAAGATGGGCGGGTGGGGGGGGGGTGGCGCTTGGTAATAGGTCACACCCCTCCTCTGGTGGTAATTCAGCCTTTTGAGAGTCAAGTCTGTAAAAACAGAGGAACACGAAGTTCCTTCACTTTTAGAAAGTTGAATGAAATGTCAAAATGCTTAACGTGAAAGATCAAATTCAGAACAACGCTGATCACATTTAATGAAACTTCTGATCTAGAGTAAACATTCGGGACTGTATAGTTACCAGTTCTTTCAGTTCCACTGAAATATATTTCTTCTTTTTAAATCAGGAAGCAGATTTTTAGTGGCAGGTAAATACATTTTCAACTAGTCTTTTTTATGATTTTTAGGAAGTCTTGTTTTTCCAAATAGTTTATAGCGTATTTGCTTTTATGTTTTTAAAGGCTCATTCATTTTAACGGCCAAATTAGGGAGAGAGCAAGACGGAGAGCAAGCTTGCATCTGCTGGTTCACTCCCTAGATGGCTGCGAAGGGCAGAGCTGGGCCTCGTGTTGGTCTCCCACGTGGGTGCCGGGGCCCAAGGACTTGGGCGACTTTCTCCAGCCACCAGCAGGGAGCTGGATTGGAAGCAGAGCAGCCAGACTTGGAAACCAGCCCATATGGGATATGTGGGCATTCCGCTCAGCGGCTTAAAGCACTGTGAAACAATGCCAGGCCCTGCTTACTGCTTTCAAATTAGTGGGAAATACTTGCCTTTATGATTTATTTATCAACATGGCATTAAGTTGACACCTGCAGATATATCCCAGGCTGATCCTTGTGGTTTATTTGTTTAAGGGGGAAAATACGGTTGAAGGCAAGCTGTTCAATAGCTCAAAAAGCTAATTCTCCACCTTCAAGCACCAGCATCCCATATAGGTGCCAGTTTGTGTCCTGGCTGCTCCACTTCCCATCCAGATCCCTTCCTATGGCGTGGGAAAGCAGCAGAGGATGGCCCAAAGCCTTGGGAAAGCTGTGGCTGAATGGGAGACCAAGATGAAACTGCTGGCTTCAGCTCAGCTCTCGCTGTTGCTATAATTTGGGGACTGAGCCAGTGAATGGAAGATCTCTGTCTCTCGTTTTCTCTATAGATTTTGGTTTTCAATGGAATAAAATAGATCTTCACAAGAAAAAAAAAGTTTTCTTTTAAATAGTAGAACCTTGAATTGGAATGCAAATGGCTTTTGTTACCATGAATATGAGCGACACCATCCTTTCCTCAGACTGCTGCACTGTCCTTAGGAGCCATGGCACAGTTGTTTGCAGAACCAAGAATAGATTTGCCACCCAAATCTCGTGGTATTATTCATGACTTCTGATACCGGTTGTACAGAGAGCCTGATTAAAGCTGTTAAGGTGGATGGCCTGAAACATTTCAGAGACTGTTAAAATATTGCTTTTGATGATTTATTTCCTGTAGGATTGAAGGGTAGTTGCAGGGCTGTGGAAGACACAGTGTCATCTGGTCACTTCTGAAGAATGATGAATAATTTGGTGTGTGCACGCTTATGTAAATTGGATGTTCAAGGGAAAAAATTGTATGCAGGATATTTCCATTGCAGGAAGCGTTTTCCTTTTCGTGTTGTACAGTCAGCAGCATTTACGTTTTCACAGGTTATCAGTTGATTTGCTTTCTCAGTGGCAGTTTAGGGAAGTCGAGCGACTTGCTCAAAGTCCTGAATCCAGCCCAGGTTTCCTTAAACCTTTAGGCCTGGAAGTATTGTCAAAGGAAGCAGATTTGGTTTGACTTTGTAGAGTCATTCTTCCCCCTTGCCAGCTGAGTAGCTTTGAGGATTTTTTTTCTTGATTTCACCGAGTCTAGCCTTCTTGATATAAAATCAAACTATGTAATTTTGTCCTGGAGCGGAGGTTTAAGTGAGGAAGACAAGACTAGCTCTCCTTCCTCCCCTGATCCTGAGTTGCTGGCTTGTGGGCTCACTTTTGTTAAAGATTTATTTATTTATTTGAAAGGTGATGAGAGAGGGAGAGGAGTCCTCTGTTGGCTGCTTCACTGCCTGAATGGCTGCCACAGCCAGGGCGGGGCCCGAGGCAGGAGCCTGGAACTCCGCATCTCCCACGGGGGTGCAGGGGTCAAAGCACTTAGACCAGCTTCCGCTTTCCCAGGCTCACTGGCAGGGATCTGGACGGGACTCGAACTGGTGTTCTTAAGGGATGCGAGTTTCGCAGGTGGCAACCTAACCTGATGTGTCTTATTTTGCTCTCATATTACCTTAGCGCCTCTAATCCAGCTGTCCCGTATTTTCACTCCATTGGGACAAATGTCTCATTATCAGGGCTTCTCAGTGACATTTTTGGCTGAATAATTCTATTGTGACGCTGTCCTTTACAGCATCCCCGCTCTTTCTTTGATGCCAGTAAGCTTCCTCTTAGTTGTGATCCTAAAGAACTTTTAGGGACCAGCCCTATAGTGCAGTGGCCGCACGGCCAGCATCCCACATCAAAGCGCACAGGAGCAGCTGGCTCGGTCCTGGCTGTTCTGTTAACCATCCAAGCTCCTTGTTTACGTGCCTGGGAAAATAGCAGAAGGTGGTCTTAATTGCTTGAGTCCCTTGGCACCCCCACAGAAGACCTGGATGGGATTCTAGGCTTCTGGCTTTGACCTAAATTAGGCCCAATCTTTGCAACCATTTGGGAATTGAACCAGTGGATGGAATCAGTTCCTCGGTTTCTCTGTCCGCAGTTTTTCAAATCAGTCTTTATCAAAAGGTAGTTGACAGATGTTCCTGGTAATGGGGGGCAGAGTTGTCACTCTGTGAGCCACTGGCCTGGCGGGTGATGGGTGGTGGTGCCTGGAGTTGTGCTGCGTGTGGAGACATGGGTCCGGTTGAGATCCTTGGGTGAATGAATCCCCAGCTGTCCCTCAGTGACTGGTGCTGCTTGTTGCACCTGACAGCAGTGCGTCTCCAGTTAGTCTGCAAGAAAAAAGAGCCCCCAGCTGTACTGACTTTAGACCTGGTTGTAGCGGTATTTGATTTTAGCTTGATTTAGTATTTGATTTTAATTATTATTGCTTTGTATTTATTTGAAAGGCAGGGTGAGAGTCAGATCTCCCTTCTGCTGGCTCACTGTCTTAAATGGCTGGGAAAGCCAGGAGCTGTGAACTCATCCAGGTTGCCCACAGGGAAGGCAGGGATCCAGCTATGCGGGTGCGTGTCAGCAGGAAGCTGGGATTGAGAGCAGAGCCTGAACTGCAGCCACTTTGATATGGGATATGGCTCCACCATTGTGCCAACCCCCCTGTCCCTCTTGATTACTTTTTATTATATTTTTAAAAGATTTACTTAGTTATTTGAAAGAGCAGATGCTGATTTCGCTGTCTGAGTGGCCAGGGCTGTGTTAAGCTGAATTCAGGAGCCAGGAGCTGCATCCTGGGTGCCCACCTGGGTGATAGGGTCTCAGGTATTTGGGCCGTCCTCTGTTTCCTAGGCACATGAGCCAGGAGCTGGTTGGGAAATGGAGCAGTCAGGCATGGGACGGCGTTCCAGTCTGGCCTGGCAGCGTCCCAAGTAGCAGCCAAACTCACTGTCACAGTGCTAACTGCACTTTTTTTTTAAAGAGTGCTGTGTTTATTTAAAAAGTAAGGTGACTGGAAAAGAGGAAGGACAGAGATCTGTCCACTGCTTCACCCCCAACTAGCTGCAGCAGACTGGTCTGGGCCAGGCCGAAGCAAGGAGCCAGGAGCTGCTTGCTGGTCTCTCACATGAGTGACCAACGCCCAGACACTTGGCCAGCCTTTGCCACCTTTCCAGCTGCATGAACAGGGAGCTGATCAGAAGCAAGCAGCCAGGACTGGAGCCGGCACTCCCCAAGCAGCTACTGAAACTTGTTCACCAAAATACCAGCCCCTGCTTTTAGCAGGATTGCTATATCCCAGACAATCGCTTTCAATTTGAGTAAAGTAAATAGAAATATACTACTAGAAAATTAGAAAAAGTGAGAAAAGGTGTTAGAGGCGTGGAAATGAAACTAATTGAAAAGTAAGTAATTTTAGTATATTCAAATGTAACTTGGAGTACTACTGCAGAAGTGATGCGATAAAGAAGACAAATTAGCTTTTCAACGAATATGTTCAAAGTAAAAATATTATTCAATTTAAGTTGTCAACTCTTGATTGAGCTGTGTATTAAATATTTCTGAAATTATAGGGAGATAAACTATAGAATCAAGAGAATTTATGATTTTAAAAAAATATATTAATTTTTATTGGAAAGACAGGTCAGATTTATGGAGAGAAGGAGAGATAGAAAGATCTTCCATCCACTGGTTCACTCCCCAAATGGCTGCATTGGCTAGAACTGAGCCAATCTGAAGCCAGGAGCCAGGTACAGGGTCCAAGGCTTTGGGCCGTCCTCCACTGCTTTCCCAGGCCACAAGCAGGGAGCTGGATGGGAAGTGGAGCAGCCGGGACATGAACAGTTACTCACATGGAAGATGAAGGTATAGCTATTGAGCCATCACGCCAGGCCCGAGGCTATATAATTCTTCCTCAGTGTTTTACTTAACATTTTTGTTTCTCTCCGTGTTGACGCAGTTGCAGTAAGACCTTAGTGTCTGGAGACATTTGTTAAACTCAGGTTGATGTTTCTGCTTTCCCATCTTCAATGAGTTAAAGCTACCCGGCCCGCCTCCTCAGCATCATTCCCACCTGGAATTCACAACGCATTTTGGTGTAAAAAGTCCTTAGGACGTCGTAGTTGATGAAACCTAGGTAAAATCTTACATCTTCACAGGATCAAAATGTTCATTTTTCTGGAATGTTGCAAAGAACTGATAAAAGCTGTGGTGTTTTTGTGTGGTCTCGACCTTTTCAGCGGAAAATATTTATTGACAACATATTTTGTTTCAAATCTTGGAGTGTCTTAAGTTTTAGATGTATGAAGAACATTTAAAAAGTTATGGCTACCTCTTGATTGTAATTGGTCTAGAGGTTAGTGGTAACTTTTTCTGGGAGGAACAATGGATGCCTGTGTACATACTAAGAAGGGGATCCCTTGAGAATGGTTTCTTGGTGTAGGGAACATTCAGGCTTTGTTTGGGATTTGAAAGGCGAATAGGAGCAGGCCAGCTTCTTAGCAGGTTGAGGACAAATTTTGTGGGAAAGCAGTTATGGCATAATGTCCTACTATTTGATTTCAAAGACACACGTACTTGTAGAGAAGTTTGAAACACTGAAGATGTTTTAAAATGTGATTGTCCACTCTTGCTGTTTTTCTTTAGCATTTACATCTTGATTATTAAAGGAGAGGAATACACGAGGTATATGTATGTGTCCAAGGAAGGTTCTGGAGTG